ATTTTTCAGTAAAGCAACCCGAAACACATAAACTCGTCACACGATCCGACATATTATACGAAAATATAAACATTAGATTATGATAACTGATATCTATTAATACGGTAGCCGGTAAGTTGAATTAATATTATAAAATTACTACAAAATAACTAAAATCATTATTCTTGGTTATTTAATTTGGTCCAAATTCGAACATAAAATAACTATAAAAAAAACAGTGTTTTTATATTTTTGAGATTTTTTGGTTATAGAATAACCCACTTACGTGGTACATTGTTTTAAATTTTCAATGCTTAGCTATAAAAGTTGAAAATTTTATATATTTTTAACTACAAAATCATTTTTAAATTTAAATTTAATAAATTATGTCAAAATTCAAACGTTGAACGCTTATAAAAAAAAAATTGTGCTAATGTATTTTTAATATTTTTCAACTACTATTGAGATAATATATCAGGAACCTTGTATTGAATTTGAACGCTTTTTGACCCAATAAAATTTAAATTTAAAATTTACGTAATCGGCTCAAAAAGAGTCAAACTATTTTCAAAATGTATGGTGTATAGAAAATGAAAATATAAATATTGAGTGAAATTTTGATTAACCTACAGTTATTCGTTTTAGAATAACAGCAAAATAAGGAAATCGCCACATGAAAAATCGGGTGAATATATCCAATCTCGTAAAAATTTGAACTTCAAACTCTCAACTCTCATAAATATTGAATTTGACCTGCTTGTAGACAATTTTTTTTTTTTTGATAAATGTAGACAAACTTATGAATAATCTTGTACTACATTTTAAAATCTTGGATTTAAAAAGAAATATATTATGAATAATTTGCTAATTTTCGTAATTTTCCATATTTTGTATAGATAAGAACTTTGAATGGTAAAAAAAATTACTGTGACTAGGATTATTAATATTTTTCAAACGCCATTGTTACAATATATTAATAGACTTGTATTATTTTTTCAAGTTTTTCGTTTTTTATGTTGTTTTTCACTGCGCGTTTGAAATATATTGGGGCTCCCGAATGTACCAACTAGATTCACTTTCACATCTAACTTCTGAAGAAAATCGAAGCTGTTTTACTGCCCCAAAGTGTGGTGACCGACACAAAAATCAAAAAAATTAAAAAATTAACACACATCAATACATCAACAAATCAAAAAATATCAACAAAAAAATGGAAAATTAAAAAATGTTTGAAAACGTTTATACACGTATACAGTATGCACTCATCATTTATACTGAAGTAATAATACAAATTTTTTAACAGCAGATTAAAAACCAAATTTATAACCGGGGTAATTTTATTTCCATTTTGGATTTCCTATATTATGTTTAATAGTGGGTACCTATACCTACTATTAAAATACATGTACCTACACATTTTAGTTTCTGAGCTGAGTGATGAATGTATTGATACATAATGTATATGGTTTTTGGTGAGAAACGTGTGTATTATAATACATATTGGAAATTTGTTGGATCGCCCTACCACATATTATTTATATTATCAGCGTTATTATAATATATGCCAAATCACTTACCTTGTGTGTGGATTGTGTCGATTGCCTTCTGTGATTGAATTGTATTTCTCCGGGGTGGTGTTCGATGATCGAAATCACTTTGACTTTATTAAAAGGGCGTACTCAAGGGGAGGGTTCGTGGGGTTTGACCCCCCCCCCCCGTGACCTTACTAACCGATGCACTTTTGTGCGTTCTTGTTTATACATAATATAATTCACAGGACCAATTTTCTAAAAAAAAATTTTTAAGAAGGGAAAAAATAAACAAATATATTTATTTTCAATTTTATATCAACATGCATTATACAACGATTACAAGCATTATCTGTTAAGAACTGTAATTTGATAACCAGATAACATTTAAATCAAACATACAAGGTGTATTGATAAGGTGTCGTCACTCAGGACCCCTATACGTATTCACTCTTGATTGAAAATATTACAACAGTTCTATAGTCACCAGAGAGCGCTTCCTGTCCTACGAAGGATTGTATATTCATTCTGTTAAATGCAAAATGTCTTAAAACTTCAGAATTAAAATGCTAACATTTTTAAAATTGAAGTCAGTATTTACAAAAACATTGAATCATAAAAAGTTTTTTTTTTTAATTGAGTTCTCATAATTAATTTGGAGCCTGTAATTATACATTACATTTGCATTTTATTCATTGGCAATATTTTTATCGAGTAGACATCAATTAGAAAAAATATGATATATAATTTAGTCACTTCTTTGGATATTTGCATCCTTCTTAAAATCTTTAAATTAAATTAAAACTATTATGATTCTACTCCTAATTCTAATAGTAGTCTGGTAGAGTGGAGTATTATTTTCTAGTGCTCATAAAAAACTCTAAAAACATGTTTAAAATATTTTACATATTTTATTATAATAGTTATATTATTATTATAGTTATATTATATTATTATATTATTATAATAGTTATCTTATAAACTTCAAACTAATTTTGAAAAATTGTTTAGTTTTTTTGGAGTTTTCTTGTTTTTAGCACCTTGCTCATTTTTTTCTTTTGTAAGTGAATAACATTCTTGTTTTGACATAATGCGTTATGATATATTTGGTTATTATTTGACTGTGTATTGAGAAACCAACCTTTGTCAAAAAATTTGTTTATATATTTCTTCAATAAATATAAATTATGTTAGAAAAATAAACAGTGAAAAATGTATATGTAGTTTTCAAATTGAAATGCAACATTAAAAACATGATCTTTTACCTTGACAGCTAGTTATATTTAGATATTTTACACTATAATCTAGTACAGTACTTCTCAATTTTTTTTGTCATGAGGCTCCCTAAATTTAATGTAAAACTGTCAAGGCCCCTTAATCAAAATTATTAATTGTTTTTTTCTAAATTAGGTATATACTAAAATTACATGTACTATTTCACACAGATAAATTATTAAAATGTATAGTAATTTAATATACTTTTGAAAAATATTAATGATAATATTAAAATTTAAGTATTTATTCTTTTTCCATAAACGCTTAAAGTCAAAAAATAAAAATAAAAATAAAATAACAACATTTTTTACTAGTGTGCCTGGAAGTTCTAAGTACATTGAACCCTACAATAATCTTAAAAGAAAACATGAACACGTTAAACAATCGGAATCGGAATTTTGTTCTTTAAATAAACATTTTTCATTTTTGAAATTTATTTTCTGTAGAGTACATTACCATGTTTATATTTAATATTTTTGAAAAGGAGGTGACAAAGTCCCCGTGATAAAAAACAAAATGTTCAACCTCCCCCCATTGAAAATTCCTGAGTACGTCCCTAATAATGATCATATTTATTTTTACAGAATCGATTTTGTTTTTTTGGACAACTCTGGATGTTGGCTGAAATTATTCGGTATTGAGTTTGTTTAGATAAGTTACTACCTAGAGATATGTAATAAAATGTATTTAGTTATTTTAATATTTTTAATAAGGTGAACAATATTTTATTTTCTTACACACGTAATAGACGCACATTCTGGCAGACGAAAAAAAGCTTGTGAGTTATATATTATTACTTTTTAGTTTAACGATAGGTGTTTCACTTAAAAGTGAGCAAACCGATATTAATATCTTGTTTTTAATAAATACAAGCTGAACCCGTGCACTTCGTTGCCCCTTAAATGTACCAATTCTATATATGACTCAAACTTTGTTCAATTCGTTATTTAATATTCGGTGTATTAATCTTAACTTTTCCGTTGCTCGGAATAAAAATTCTGATTCGCAGCAGTATATTATCAGGTAGGCAATCTACCTGCGGTAGATCGCGGACCCCTAATTTGTACGTAAGTGTATGATTTAACCCTAAAGTATCAAAGTTATATCAAGTTTGTCGTATTCTACCTATGGTGGATTAATATAATCAATTAATACAAAATCCTAACCTAACCTTTTGCGTCACTGTTGTATTTTTGACACCCAGATTTCCTACTTATCCGGTGGATTTTCCTAAAATTTTGTTTCATTATAACCTTCTCCGTGATATACTCTTTCGTTTAAAAAAAATCAAGAAGATCTGATAAGTAGTTCCAGAGTTGACTCTGTAGAATGATTTTCATTACACATCTATGATATATATAGTTAGAATATATAATATATAATATATTGACAAAAAATAACAATCAACAAAGATGCCCGTAACCAATAGCAAGCAATTGTGTATTAAACTATTATTATTTTAATTCTCAACTTAATTTTTTTTTATTATTATTATTTGTTATTTAGTGTGCACCTTAAGAGTCCATAACTCCAGAACCACTTATCACACAGCATACAAACTTCATGATCGTCGGCCAATATTTTGTCGTTTTGGTCGTGGCATTTTTTAACGCCTAAATCCATACAATTGAAATTGAATAAAAATTCAATCTCGTTTAATTTCAAACCAATTAATATTTATCTAGAAAATAGAATTGTTGTTGTCATGTCAACAGACGTTTTTTTCATTTTTCATACATTTTGTTGTTGTTTTTGGTCATGTCGCCAGGTGTGCACTTATGAGGCCATAACTCCGGAACCATTTATCGCACAGCGTACAAACTTCACAGAAACCATCTACATATCAATCTTAATATGCCCTGAAATTATCGAAATCGGTTCGGTGGATCTTGAGCTATAAGATTTATTCAAAATGTACACTTATTTTTATATATATAGATTATAATAGATGAGCGACGACGGTCAGTCTGCAGAAGACGAGACGCTTCTTAGTGCGTATTTAGACTTTATGAATACCAAGACCGAGTTAACCAGTATCGAAAAATGTAGTTATAAAAATGACCACGGTACATCGTCAGACGATGCTGTCGACGAATTCGAAATATTCAACAGAGCTTTTACAAAAATCGAAAACGATGCGAATAGCAAGCCACTTTATAATAATATTAGGGCGGATATAAAGGAATTGTCGCCGATAAAATGTCAACTGTTGGCTAAATGCAGACAGAGGGCTCACGAGAAAAAAATCTAAAACAGGAAATCTACTGGGCCACAGTGGAGAAACGCGTCGACGACGAAATGTCTGCCGACACCAAAGTAGAAAATTTATCGTTTAAGGACGTGTGGGACATGAAATCTACTAAACAGTTTTGTAAGTATTTGATGGAAAACCCAGATTTGGAAAAGCCAAAATATCTCGCCGATGTCGGGTATTTTAACAACAATCCGAATACTAGGAAAAGAGATTGGGATCGAAAATCTTCCCACTAAAATATAAAAAAGTCGTATTTTCCTCGTTTCTAGTATTTTGTTTGCTGTTGAAAAACCGACATCTACGACATTTGTTTGTATTTTCTAAATCCAGGATACCCTTCAAATACTAACAAGATTCTTTGGTACTTTTACCAGCAGGTTATAGCAGATCTTCCCATCGTACGTCCTCAAACGATAACTTTTCTAGCGTCATTTATGACCATATACTAACCATATTATTAAATTCAGTGTGCACTGTGCAAGCTAAACCCGTATTTTAACCATTGTGAAAAATCAAAACATGTAATATTACGTTATGAACTGTGTATTGTAAATAATAAAAAAAAAATGTAATAAACATTGATTGGTAGTTATACATTTATTTTATAATTAATAAATAATTATTTTGTATATTATGGAACTGCTGCGGTATTAGGATTTTCTGGTGACAAATTTGTCAGGAAAGTGATTAAAGCCAACAACAACTGTATGAGCAAAAAAAAAAATGATAATACATGTAACCTATTAAGCTCAATATCAGAATTCGATTAACAATATTAACTAATTTATTTTAATGGTTTAATAATAGTAAGTGAAAGAAAAATCAAGTTAATATCAACTCTACTCAAATGGTGTTCTACAAGAAATTATACACGACGGTGGCTATGTAGTAAGGCTTAGATATGTAATATTATAAAAGGTATACAACAGGTATGTAAAAATGTTTTTGAATTCGTTTTTCTAATTGATTTATCGTTACCTATTTTGAAATTTAGCTTCTCCGTTCCGATCACTGTTGTTATTATATTTGGCATTATATTCTATAGAAATATATATTATATATAATATAAGGAGCCGCGGGATGATAAAGTTTGAATAACTCTGATATATATATTATATTTATATATTTGTATACCGTATACGAATACGATTTGGGTTAATTATAATATAGTATATTATATTGTCAGCTAACCTAACCTAAGTATAAAGTTTGTTAAAATATATATAATCAGATTAATCGTTAACACACAGCAAGGATAAAAAAAAAACGATTAAAGCGCGAACCGTAATAATCACTATTCACTGGTACACTTCTTTAGGTACCTAAAAAAAACCCAACATACATACATGTGAACTATAAGTGTACCAGGCCCTATTTTTTAGTGAACCCTGACACAAAGTGTGTAGTCCGAAATTAGAAGTGTGCACTACGGATTTGATAAGTGTAATGAATAAGACTATAAAAATAAATAGATTATAATTGGTAGGTAATAATGTACAATATAGTATATCTACATTCTACATAGTACATATTATGTAGTATACTAATATTACACTAAGTATACATAAAATTAAAAAATAATTTTTAAAATTGAAAATCTTTTATGATAGCTATTAGCTACCTACCAAAAATAAATTGTTTTCAGTTACATTTTAACAAATTGATATTTACTTAATTACTTCTCTACATTGAATCGCTAATGAACTATTATGAAGATTTGGATATCTTTAGTTATTTCTGTGTTATGATTTTGACTCTCTTAAATTTATAAAAAGTTATGCACCATATTTTACTGAATAATATATCAATTTAAATTTAAATTCTTGGTCCTCTTTGTCACTGTGTCATAATATCATTGTAAATAAAATGTGTAGTACGAATTTTTTTAGAAAAATAGGGGCTGAAGTGTTTGTAAACCTATTATGTCTTTATCTCTTACGCAGACTTGACGACCGTCAAAAACATCAATATTGAGCTGTGTATACTACTAGATTGGAAATTTGATACTACGCATTTTACTAAATGCAACCAACCCACAATTTGATAGTATAGCTATCTATCAATGTTCAGAGATAGAACTGAATGAGTTATCTAACAAAAATAATTTTACACAATACAACCATGCCACATGGTTTTCTAATGGCGATCAAACTGTGCAACCATACAACTGCACGTTTAACAATCATCATAAAACAACCAATCAACATAAGTTTTAACATAATGGTCATTATTAAATTGTATCGGAATTTCATTGATAAGTCATTGAAATATATACATCCAATTAATAAGATATATTGGTTTTAGGTCGGATGAGGAAATAAAAAAATTAAAAAAAACCATTTTTCTAAAAATTGAATGATCTCCAAATGGAACATTTGTTGGTTAATTGCTTTCTGCATATCGCCGTTCAATTATGCGACGGATGCGTGTCTTGTGAATTACTCAACCCGATAAACAAGTAACAACACACTAAGGTACAACACTTTTTAGTTGTGCTTTGTACAACGGTCGTTTGGCATTTATATACTTATGTCAGGGACAAGCCTATGTATGACGGGCGGAGTAACTTGTTTGTTGTTCATTAATTTAATTTAGGACCGTGCTCAATCGAGCAATTGAGTTTTTAATAACATGAAGAGGGATTTGTATTTATGTGACCGAGATTTCAAATGTGTAAGCGCGGTAATAATAGATTTTTATTTTTAATGCACAGGGCTTTACTTCTATGCATTATTCTGATCAACCTTCTTGTCGTCCTAATTATATATTAGACATCAAATTTACGAAAACAGTACCTCTCATATAATATCTAAGTTAATTAAATTGATCTAAAGTGTCTTCTGAATTATCTATCCTTAATCCACTCACTGATTTAAATTGAAATTCAACCCAGAGATTCTCAATCGTTTCTTCCAGGTCTCACTCATATCACACACTGGCGATAATTATATTCATTCCAGACGTGTCCTTTGAAGAAAAATCGATGAATAAATCTCCAACCTATTCGCCTTTTCATTTAAAATCTGGAAAAACATACCACAACTCTAATTTCAAAAAAACTCAAAAATGATCTCCCAATAGCTATCAAACTAGAATGAAAAATGCAAGATAAATATGAGACCTTTATATGGGAGCGTTCCAAGAATCCATTGTTCATAAAAACTGAACTTTATTGGAAAACTACCTATTACGTGACTTCCTACATAACGAAGAACAAATGGACTAATGTACTGGATTCAATATTGGTAACTCCAATCATCAGACTTAGCTTTTAAAACTTGAAAAAATGTCCTCCATAGACGTCATCCTGAGACTCAATGATCCATCAATTTCAAACTTCAAACCCAACCAATCGGGTTGACGATCTAGTCATCGAAACTATCGAAGAACACAATAATCTCATGTTCCAAAAAATTACAATATTTTCCTTTCCATGTGAAGTCTGAAAGCACTGCGACCTAAAAATCATTCTTAAAATCTAAAAACTATTTAATTTTTGCTCCAGAGTCAACTATACTTTCCCAAAGCATGCAAACATCAAACATGCACATTGTACACATTATAACTTTTCCAGTATCAGGTAAGACCTTAAAGTAATAATATGTAATTTAAATCGCGTAGAGAATGCTTTTGACAAAGTGGGGTGCGGCAAAAAGAACTGCTAGGAGTGTAATATGAAAATAAATATTACAGAATTGCGGATGCAAAAATGAATTGGTAAGAGAATGACGTCGAGTACCATTGAAACGTGTAGAAGTTATTTTTCACGGTTGTACATGCTGGTAAAAATTTAATACGTACAAACATTGACTTATATATTCTAAGTATGTACCGCGTGACTCTAATTTATACTAATGAACTAAGATGATTTTGTTCTACCTTATGTATCTTTTGGAGATGTTTATACGCTTCGAATATTACTCATAAAGTCGTATCGATTCTAAGATAAATTTTCTACTTTACTTGCAAACTTTAGTGTAATGTGAATGTTAATTAATTGAGGAAAGTGTATTTACACTTTAGAGATTTTTTATATTCGCGTCACCATATAGGACCTCTTACGGACATTGATAACGAACCGAATATAACCTAACCTATGAACGGTTTATTTGCAATGGGATATAATATAATTATAATGTCCTAATCATACTACACAACAAATTGATTATTTAAATTGAAGGTATGATGTCGGAGGATAATAGTTAACAAGATATTTAATTTAGCAATATGAGACAACTAACTTATTGTCCATACCTGTCACCTGAATATTCGAATGATACAGCATATATACAAGTTCATAACGCAAAAAGGTAATATATGAGCATATTCGAATGATGTGTAAGTGTGTGTACTACACACTGTGTAGTGATGTTGACTGGCGTGGACCATGTGTATCTGTGGAACGACACTGGAGACTCTGTTGTCCTTATATAATATGATTTTGGTTGATCCCTTCTTCTTGTGCATCGATTAATACGTGATATTAAAGTATTGGAATATTTTATTATTTTGTGCGGTGCGACAAAGGTACCTCTGGTAATTTATGGTTTTGTTTTGACCAAACGTCTTGATCGGAAAATTATCGAAGTGGTCTCGAAGTATATAATATTAATATATATATATATAATATATATATATATGTACGTATATATACACCTATGTATGTACGTATATGTATACGAAAGAATGCGTTGATGATTTTACAATATACGGTGTTCAGCTGATATTTGATTGTGTTGTTTCCACTACACGTCTGATCGGAGAGGTACTGAATATTATTTATGTGTTGCATATGCCACGTGCATGTAAGAGGAGTGCGTATAATGTATATATGTTCCTAATGTATGTATGTATGTATATAGGTATATATTGGATCACCCACATTCCATAATAATATGGTCCGTTGTTATTATTTGTCTCGTGTTTTATTCTAAGTCTAAATATTATATATTACAACTTCATTTTTGGTCTAAAATATTACACCCATCTATTCATCAATGCAGTTTGTTGCTCTATTGTTATTCAGTGTCAAATTATTAAAGGTTCGATGGTTCGATGATTTTAATTTTAATCATCGCATGTAAATTATTATTATATATTGACCTTGTTTTTAGTATTTTTGCTGTAGATACCATTTAGATATATTACCCATTATGTTAGCATGATTATTAATTTGTGTGTACATTATGTTAAAGAGCTTTGTTTCGCCAGCACTGCCACTTGAATATCAAACGTT